GAGAATTGCTTCTTAAAGACACCTGCTAAGTGCGCAGTTCTGATGCACTGTAGCTTTCACTATTCATTCGTTGGACACCTAATTTTAATCACTTGCATTTTCAGTTGAAATGTCTTTGCATACGAAATTTAATTACAATCGGGCAACTCCTTCTTGGTGGCTCGTTTTTTTGTTATATATATATATATATATATATAATATTATATTATATTACTGCAGAATCCATTTTTTAAATTTCGATTGCTCATGAGTCCTTCATTGTGTGCTTCCTTACTGCTAACAATTTGGTTGCTTGTAAATGCCAAAAAAACTGATTTCTTAAAATCTATACAAGATGTTTAAAATGGTGTGTGGTCTCCCCTGACTGCGAATACTGCCTGTACACCTGTTTAGATGGATATTGTAAGGTTATCGGTGAGACTTTGGGGAATACTTTTCAATCTCTACACCCCAGACATTTTGTGAAGGCGCGATCTAGCTGAATGCTTCGTCCGAGTGAGTTCCAAGTATGCTGGATAGGATTTAGGTCAGGAGGACATGCTGTCCACTCCATACGTTGTATTGTTTAAGCTTCAAGAAAGTTATTCACAAGACGAGCTGTATGATTTCTCGCATTATACTTCATTAAATGAAAGTAATCATCAACGGTTGCTGCTTAAGGTATGATATGGGGTCTTATGATTTCGTTTGCATACTTTTGAGCCGTCAAACAGCCATTCCGTTTCGTATGCAGGTCATTTCGTCCGCCTATGCTGATACCAGCCCATGCCATGAAACCACCTAGTCTGTAAAGTGATCTTTCCTGAAGGAATATTTGGTTCTTTGAGTGTTCTTTTCTCGCCATTCGAAAACACGCCCGACGTCAGACGCTACACTGAATCTGGAGTCATTCGTAAACAGCACTTGACTCTCTTCACTTTGCATCTAATCTCGATGTTCAGCAGCCTACTTTCCTAGTGAGCATGGTGACTTGTTGTTAACGGATACACGCCATTAGCCTACATGCGTACAGACTGTGAAAAAATTAATTTTCGATTTCAATTTCTAACGTAAGAAAGAAGATATCACTTGCATTATTTTTCGTTTTTAAATTACCGAGATGTGTTTGATCTACGTTCGATTATTTTACATCATAGATATTCCTACTCATAAGAATGAGAGTTCTTTTTGTGGTGCAAAAAGAGATTTAATGAATAAAGAAAAATAAAAAAAAAGTTGATGCAGTATGCGTCCGAATACAAAAACAAATACTACTAATAAATACAGACAAAAAGAAAGAAAACAAACACAAAAAAGAATGCGCTCGCAGCGCCTCTCAATTTGAACTACATATTCTTTGGCTTCGTTCGCGGCACAGGCCATTCGCATGAATCCCAGTTAGGATTGTTTGACTTCAGTCCCTTTGTCATGTTGCCAAAAGAAACTGTCTTTGAAACACCGTCACATTGGTTGTTCCCTCTGGAATAGCTGTTTACAGGATATATCAGTCATTATTTGCAGTGGTAATCCGCGAGAAACTTTGTCCGGCCCGACGTCTAACCTGCTCTGTTTTTTAGAATCGATTTCACAGTCTTGCAATGACATGTCACTCTAACAACATCGGTTATAACTCATTGTTTTTCCTGGATTTCTGTCTCCTGATTTCGTGTCTTCTTTTTACACGATTTTCTGAGTAACGTATCTACCGCGTAAAAAAAGAGTTGGGTGTGTATACAGCTATCTACACAAATAAATTTTTATGCATTCCTGAAGATCGATTGACCACTTCTCAATAGCTTACAGACATCATTACGAGTTACTTGAGGATGTGAGGCATTGGAATTAATTTTTAATTTATGGCAAACTCTGAAGCAACACATGGCATTTGGGCATGGTCTTAATAATTTTACACCTAGGTCAATAAACAAACACAACACCTGAAACCGAGGACCTGAGTTGGCATTCCACTATTTAAACTTTCATTCCAAGTCAAAGAATTGGAGGATTTATCTTGCATCAGCCACTCTACACGAAAGATCTTTAGTTTCATCAGGACTTGAACACGTGACTCTACATTGCTGGCCACGAGTTCATGACCATGATAACTCGGCTATCGCGTCCAAACAAATTTAATTAAACGAAACATCTAGATCTTCCTCATTTAAGATGAACTTAAAAGAACCCTGAATTTGTCTCACGCACGCTTACACGCACGCTTACACGCACGCACGCACGCACGCTTACACGCACGCTTGAACGCACGCTTGAACGCACGCTTGAACGCACGCACGCTTGAACGCACGCACGCTTGCACGCACGCACGCTTGAACGCACGCACGCTTGCACGCACGCACGCTTGCACGCACGCACGCACGCTTACACGCACGCACGCACGCTTACACGCTCACCAATTTACATTTTCAATCATTGCTTGAAAATAATCAAGTCTAAAGCAATTTTATTACGAAATGTTAAAAAATCCACCTAAGTAGTCTAAACTTAGTCTAAGTGAGGAGGTGTAATGAAAAAAAAAAGAAGAAAAACCAAAAGCCTCGTTGAAATGAAAAATTTCATCGTACATATAGTTGATAGTGTACTGGGGAACATTGATATTAAATCGGAAGATTAATTTTACCTAGTATGCATACTCGCATCAACTACAAATAGCTAGTGGCATATAAAAATATACTACAAAAGCGGCATTTAAGAAGATCAAAGAAAGATTGCAAGAAGGCTAGGATACATGAAAAGAGGACTCGTCGTCTTAAATCATATTCTTAAGATGATAGATTTAGAGATGCTGAACATTTGAAAGGATCTTATGAAAGTAGAACTGTTTTTGTGTTTTTTTAAATATGTATTGGTCGAATTGTTTTAAATCTAGAGTTGCTGCTTGTAGAAACAAAGAAAAAATAATTTTCAGTAACCGTAAGAAAATTCTTTACTGATGGAATGAGTACTTAAATGATTTGTTGAAGGGAAAACCTCGGGATGTAGTTTTGGTCAAACAATAGGTTTTTCCTTATGAAAGTAATCGGTAATAAAAATGAAAGAAGGGATTAACAAACTTAAAAAGCAACAAAGGTACATATTCCCTTACTTTAGAGCTAAAAAAAATGTACAGAGAAATATTGAGGAAATTTATCACCTTACTGAGAACATATGGAACCATGGTTTTCTACCTGAGGAATGAAAGATGAGCATCATCTGCCATAAGAAATAAGACGGATATAGAGGTGATTTTATTAGCAAAAAAAACATGCTACTCAATTGCAAAACTTTGATTTGGCCCATTTTAACTTACACTGTTGATTTATGAGCAATATCTGAAAAAATAGACTCTTGTGCTACATTTGTAATAGAATATTTAGAAGCATATTTGGCAGAACTGTGATAACTAATAAAGAAGAAACAACTCAGAGAAATTTACAAACTATTTATAGAAAAAGATATTATTAAATTTATATTAATATGGAGGGTTTAATGAGCAGGACATTTAATAAGATTGTATGACAGTCGAACCACTAAAAAGATTTTCTTGGCTAAACTATTCAATGCCCTAAAAAGGGGGAGACCAAAACTTAGGTGGAATGACTGTCTGGGAAAATACTTTTAAGGTATTAAGGTGATAAATTGGAAAACTTAGGCAAGAACAGAAAGACTTGGAATGGAATTTCTAAGAAAGCCGATCCATGGTATATAACACGATTGAAGAAAAAGAATTTAAAATTTGAGCTTGCTACCCTCATAAGTATTTATTTATTTTCTGTTTTTAAGATCAGAAAAATATTTTTTTCTTTTTTTAAGGAATCTTTTCATTATAGGTACACATATTGATTTTACTGATATAAAATTCAATAAATAACGATAATGGAGGAATGATCACAGACTTCGTCAAAGGCATTCTTTTTTCTGGATGGAATCAATTTATTGCAGTTTTAGAAATGATAAGGAGGTTTTTAAACGTTAAACATTCATATTTAACTGCCGAATAAACGGGTAAAGCAGTGTCATGAAATTTGATGTATGTTTATGAAATATATATCAGTAAATTTAATTACATTTTTTTAGTCAAATATATTTCTTCAATTTATTCTGCTTAGCTCTAGAAACTTTTATTGTAATGAATATTAGATAAAGTATTTAAAAACTTAAGTTATCTCATAAAATATATACACTTTTGTTGATTCCGAACTCTGCAGCTACACTGGTGACGGTATGTCCCTCCTCCAGCTTTCCGATCATTCTTCCACATGTGAAGTCGTCTAGGTGATTTCTTCTAGAGATATTTCACGAACTGACTCACTGGCACTTGCAGCGAATATGTTGAATTGCGTCTGCGTCCTTCATTTTATTTTACTGTTGAACAGCACGCGCCGACATCACGCGTTTCGCGTACGCTCACATCACTCCTGACGTTTCGTTCCTCATATTTGCATACGCATGACGTTTCTACTGACTTACGTGTTCACTGTACTGATCTCCAGACCTCCTTTTCTTCAATTTCATGGTTATCTGCTTAATTTTTACATTGTTGCTTAAGTTTTGCACACCAGTGTAATAACTGGAAGAGCAGATAGAGAGAGATTGAATGAGCCAGGTCTGAATGAACCGTGAGGCTCGGGTGCCGAGATATTGGCCAAAAAGCTGTAGAGAGAGGGAATGCACAGGGGGGATGCGTCCCAACAGATATAGTTTATAACCATAGTTTTTATGATCCCTAAATATCAGTCCCATAGCATCAAAAAAGTTGCATATTAAAATATTATACAATGGAGTGCGCGTGCATCGGTGTCCAATGGTATGCGCGTGCACCCGTGAGGGTGTGAGAGCGTATTGTAAAAATTTACCCTCATCCTTTTTCCCTTACTCCCAAAAAGAAGTATAACTAATGTGTGTAGTAAAGAAGTATTTTTTTGAGAATTTCGAAGGTGGCAATGATCTGTCCCATTATGTATATTTCTAGACAAGGCATTTTCGTATCCGATCCTACGGAACGTAAAGCAAAGGTTCGCTGTCGTGGGGGATAGCTCAGTGGTAGAGTATTCGACTGCAGATTGAGAACTCCCCGGTTCAAACCTGGATGCCACCTTTTTCAGGGATGTGAAGAGAAATATATTTTACTGAGAATTTCGAAGGCGGGAATGATGTGTCCCATTCTGTATATTTCTAGACAAAGCATGTTCGTATCCGTGACGGTGTGTGCACATATCGTAAAAATTTACCCTCGTCCTTCTTCCCAAACGCCCAATAAGAAGTATAACTTCAAAAATACGTTTTTGTGTTTTATAACATAACTTATTATAACATTTTGTCTTGAGATCATCGTTGATATTTAAGCAAATGAATTCTGAATTTACTGAAGCTCATATCAGTCTGTATTGATAACATTTTGTATGCTTCTTGAGATATATAAGTAATTATTGCTCAACAATATGCTGTGCACCTTTTTAAACTAAATAGTATAGCACTATATTATCACTATAAAATAATAGGCAATGGAAATCTTACATGTTATTACATAAATCCGGGAGCAGGCGTGCACTCGATAGTAACGTTAATGGTAATGCAGAGTGAGTGAGTCACCCCAATACTTTTTTATATAATTAATTTTACTTTATATGATAAAAATAGTGATTCTAATGAATAATTCATGAAGAGAAAGTATACTTAACTACTGTTCAGGACTTTTCAATTTAAGCATGTTTCAAAAATGCGTGACCATAATAAAGGACACAAATCACAGACACTTTTCGTTAACATTACTGGAATAATATTTGTAGGCAAAACTGTCACATTTTGTTCAAGTTTTTTTAGTTTTATTGTCCTTTGATGATCTAGATGTAGCACACAGAACTTTTTCTCGTTTGTGTCTTTTTCACAGGGCGCATTGTATCTTGTGTGTACACTTGTGGCTTCCTATTTTTCTTGATGGATTTTTTAGGTAGTATTTGAAAACTTTCCTTTCAACTCAAATGTTTCATATTCATCACTTTTCTCAAATTAGTTTCGCTACCAGGCATTAATATCCATTATCCAGTTTCAACTTTATCCAATACAGTTCTCATAGATATGTCCATTTATGTCTCTTTATTTACATTTCATACTCTGTTCATTTACATTTATACACCATAATGAATCGTACAACACACCGATCAAAACCACTAAGGTGTTTACAGGGGGAAAATGCAGCCTTTTCATAGAAAATATTTTGTAACAAAAGTGGTCGCATGGGAAACTCAGTTACCCCAAGTACCTTGTAACTAATAGAAAATGTTTGCCGATCTCAGAAAAGAGGGAGATTCGTCACCAATCCTTTTGAGTTTACATAATGACTTTCTTATAGGAGGATACTGACAAGTTCATTTGTAACAAATAAGCAGTTTTCCTAGAATTAAATATTTCGTGAGCCTGGAGTGATTCTGTGCCTCGCACGACCACTCAATGGTTAAAGGTAAATTTAACTATCCACAAATTATACTTTTTAAGACACGAACATTTCGTTCAGATATTTTATGTAAAAACAACTCGTATTATTATGGGGATTATTCACAGTTCAAATCAATTAACTGACGATATGTAATATTAATATTGTTTTTTTTTAAAAGAAGCCTTTGAGGGCAAAATGTAATTAGATTTACCTAACCTTACCTCAAGGAATTTATCTATAATAAAAAAATATATTTTGAGCAGGAACAAATTTTCTATCAGATAATGCCTCAAGAATGAAAAGAACTGAAACTATTGACTATGTTTTTTATGAAATTCTTATCAATAATATTAAAAAATAAATTTAAATTGTAAAATTGCTATTCAACATTTTGGATTAAACTAAATTGTTTAAACAGAAGCATTTTATTTTTATTTTACAAATGCCAGGCCATTGACCATCAGGTCATTAGGCAACGGGCTCTCCAATACCTTTTTACAATGCAGTTAAGATCATTCAGTGCAGAGCACTCGTCCAAATGAGCGGCAGTCATGTCTTGTCCAGTGTCACACAAAACGCAGATTGGTGAAGTCACTAAATTAAAACGAAACAGATGAGCACAAAGGCAGTCATGTCCGGTTAAAAGTCTAAATTTAGCCACAGCAGCAGCACGAGGAGAACTTGGAATACCGTGGGATTTCTTACATAGTGTACTCCAAGGCTTATCACATCACAAGCAACACAAGAAGCTGTAAGGCGAAATGATTCCCTAAAAATCCTTTTAATTTCCAGTTTGGCAGAATGAAGTGTCAGGTCTCTGCGAAAGTTCTGAAGGATACCCGTTCCCTTTTTTGCCAAAAAGTCTGCCCTCTCATTTCCCCAAAGACCACAGTGGGATGGTACCCATTGAAAGACGATCTTTCCTTTTATCTTTCCAAGGAGTTCTCTACAGTTCTGCACACGTAAACAATTATTCTCATTATAGTTGGACAAAGCCTGAAGGGCAGAAGTAGAATCTGAAAGAATTACAGCTCTTTCAATGGGGGGAAGACGAACAGCAAGTTGCTGAAGGGCTATATGTATAGCTTCAACCTCACCATCAAAGTTAGTTGTCAAAGGGCCGGCGTGTAAATAGAAGGAGAAGAGGTGACTAAAAACACCAATGCCAGCGCCTTGGGCAAAGTCCAAGAGTGAGCCATCTGTGTAAATGTGAAACCACTCCTCCGGTGGGAAGCGGATATTGATAGTTTCCAAAGCTATAGCGTGAAGAGCAGTTGGACTTGATCACGTTTTCTCACATTCAGAACAAGGTCCAATCTGATGTCGAGTATTGCGTAGTCGAGTGGGTTAGCAAAAGACAGTAATTCAAAGGGCACATCATTAATGACTTTATATTGAATGTTCTCACGAACACATTGAATAAAACCCTTTTGAGTCTTAAGATTACGTCCTCCATCGGAATCATAGTCCCGCCAGAATGAATTATTTGGGAGTCTAATAAGTCTATTGAAGAGAATAGCAGCATTCTTCTCAATTATATTAGTGAATGGCTGAAGGTCTCAAAGTAACTGCATGGCAAGTACTGGAGTAGTTTTAACTCCGCCAGTGATCATGCGAAGGGCTTGGTTATGGAAAGTGTCAAGAAGTTTTCTAACGTTCTCTGAGGCAGAGATCAGCACCTCATTGCAATAATTTAGAACTGGTTGAATATATGTCTTGTAAGTTGTATTTAAGGTATCCCTATTGCATCCCCATTTAACTCCAGTCAATCTTTTAAGAATGGAGAGTCACTTTCTTGCCTTAGAAACAACAAGCTCAGCATGTTTAGTCCATTTCAATTTGTTATCAAGAGCGCAACCCAAATAAATTGAAACATCACTCTGTTGAACAGACATACCGTTATAAACCAATTGGGGACTGAATGGTTGTCTATTTAAAGTGAAGAACTGACAAGTAGTCTTCTTTAGGTTTACAGTCATATTATTTTCAATACACCAAAGGTGTAATCTTTAAAGGGTCAGATTTAGGATGGTATTTAGTTTGGACTGATCCCTCTTTGGTGTTCTGCACCAGATGGCAAGGTCATTTGCAAATAGAGCCGTATTGGTCCGTCCATCAGATGCCAAGAGATCAGGGAGATCATTAATAAAGATGTTGAATAAGATAGGACTAATCACAGTGCCTTGGGGCAGGCCAGTTTCACTTTGTTTAAAACTGGAAATAGCATTTCAAAAACGAACGGCCGAGAAACGCTGAGAAATGAAGTTCCTTATCCACATAAGCATATTATTGCACACACCCAGGGTCTGTAATTTTTGAATACATTTAAGCCGCCAAACTTTATCAAAGGCTGCTTCAAAATCCACAAATAGGGCAAGAGCAGAGTGTCTCTGATCAAGGGCATCCTTGATGGACTGGCCAAGAAAAACAACTTGTTGGTTTGTGGACTGACATTTTCTAAAGCCAGCCTGAGAAGAGGTCAGGAGATTATTAGTTTCGAGGTACCAGTCAAGTCGAGAAGTGATCATTCTTTCCATGACCTTAGATAAGATACTTGTTAGTGAGATGGGGCGATAACTGTTTAAATCATCCAGAGGTTTGTTCTTTTTAGGAATAGAAACAACTATTGCCTTCTTCCAGATTGCAGGCACACCATACTTCCAGATATGGTTATACAGTGTCAAAATCACAGAAAGTGCATTACAGCCAAGGTGTTTCAAAAATTCAGGGTGAAATTTATCTGGTCCGAGACTCTTAGCACACCTTATGTGCCCAACAGCCTCTCTTAGCTCTGAAATACTAAAGTTTCGATGGAAAATCTCATGTCCATGAGATTGAGACGAAGCAATATTACGGATTTCTCGCCCAATAATTTTCTGCCTGGTCTTAAGGCTCTTTTTTAGGCGTTGTTTAGTTGAATAAAATGAATTAAAGGAGTTGGAAATATCCATGTCGTTAGTTAAAACACGATTACCGACTCTCAAAGGTTCCGTCGAAGAAGTATTCACCCTATTCTGAATCTTGTTTACAAAATTAAAAACCTTTTTTCAATCCTTCCTGTAATCAATTTTTGTTATAAAATTATTGAAACAATTACGTTTCGCGGTAAGAATTTCCTTTCGAAGGAGGGCGGCACTCTTTCTCCAGTTTTGGACATCCTCTGAATCTTTACTTTGTTCAGCAATAAAACGGGCAGTAGAAGATTTCTCTTTTAAAGCAGCGAGATTTTCAATCCAAAAGGGTTTATAGTTAAACTGCTTGCCCCTAGGAATCCATTTCTTAGCAGTTTCAAAGATAATTTTTACAAATCTGGAGAAAACTCTATTGACGCTTTCACCGGCCTTACAGAAACTCGAAACGGATTCGAAAATATAGTCTCATTTTCCAAAGTAAAGTTCTTCCAGTCGGCCTTGGCGAAATTTCATCTATTTCTAAAGGGTCTCTTTGAAAAATTACTTGTGTCAAAACCAATCCCAGTAATAATCATGCGGTGGCCTGAGCCAGAATCGTAAATGACTTCTCTTTATACATCATCAGCGATATCCGCGGAAGCTAAAGTCAGATCTGGGTTAGTGTCATTGCCACTGTAGTGCAAGTAGGTTGGAATATCTGAGTCATTATACGAAAGTTCCATTTGGTCAGCGATCAAAAGATCTTCCATT